TTCAGCCGGCTGTCGACCAACACCCCCAGGTCCTTTTCCTCCAGGCAGCTTCCCAGCCACTCCTCCCCAAGCCTGTAGCGCTGCATGGGGTTGTTGTGGCCGAAGTGCAGGACCCGGCACTTGAACTTGTTGAATCAACTCGAGGCCGTTCTCTGTCGTCTTATAAATGAGCATCCACTACTTCTACAGTAAGGTGCCGGCTCCTCTGAAAGAGAGTGTCTCACCGTAATCTTCAAGAGAAAATTTGAGAATTTCCTCAGTAGAATTTTTTTACTTTTTTCCTGGGGCTTAAGAGAGAGGGAGAAAGAATTTCTGGGGCTCTTAAGGCTCCCGTGCCTTTTCACTGTCCATGTTTATAGCTGAAAGTGGTCCAAGCACTGGCCGTCGCTGCGGTATTTGAGACCTATTTCATCTACCGAACTGCTGCCGCTCTCATTTCTACTTAGTCTGTAAAAAATAAAAAAAAGCATCAGCAAGCAGAGAAATGGCTAAAGGAACAAAGAGCCTTTATTCATCCCAATGGCCTCAGTACTAAAAATGTGAGGGGGGGGGGAAAAGCAGACCCTCTCTGAGACAGGATGGGAAAGTATTTCTTGCCAGAGCACGTTTCAAAGCCGGTTTGCAGTCATCGTCAGCAAATCTATGACAACATCTGGGCTGAAAGAGCAGAAGGACACATCAAAGCAGCCCCAGCAGATACGGAGAGTTTCAGCTAAGGAGGTTATCCAGGGTAAACAGCATTTGGCAATTTATTAGACGTTGTTTTTAATAAGACTGCCACGGCCATGTCTAGCACTTCCAGCCACAGCATCGTACCCCTGAATTAGAAAAGACAGACAGCTGCGTTCACTCAAACGAGCGAGGGTAAGAGGGGCTGGGAGCAACTTTTACAGAGTCCGGCATTGTCTGCCTAAATCCCCCCTCTGCCTTTGAGAAACCTTGCCCCCTTGGCTTCCCAGGTTTGGGTCTCTGATCTCCAGACTGTTTGCAGTGCCTGCGAGCTGGAGGTGGCGAGCTGCTCGGCTGGTTGCTAATGAAGCATGCTGTGGTGTCTACCACACGGC